CAACTGTTTCAGAGAAGCTTCTGTCTGCTGCTTCCTGAGACAAAATTCCACTAAGGACTTTTCTTTTCTCATCGACTGTAGAAGGAACCTCAAGATCTCTAATAATTAACTCATAAGTTAACTCATCAGTTTTCAAATGCTTAGGGTTGATGGTAGCCATTTTGTAAGATTATTTAAACAAACAATTTATGTAAAGCAACAAGTAACCAAATTAACTTAAAAGATAAAGATAATATAATTTTAAGAAAATAATATAAAACTACTATTTTATATTTAATTAAGTTTTAACACTACCCAACAACACATGAACTTGTCAAGGTTAATGATAACCAGCAGACAAAAAAGGTTGGTGATCAAAAAAAAACTATCAGTAAAAATTAGATAAAAAACTAAGTACAAAAAGTAAGTAAGATAGAAAATAGATATTTTTACTGAAATTTAATAAATTTATTACTCCAAAAAGGAAGAAAAATGTTAAAGATAATAATAGCAAGAAAATATAAAAGTATTGTTTCAACTAAATACAAGAATGTATGCATTACTCAGAGTATATTACGTTGGTGCGCCAATTTGTAACGTTCCAACGAACATTCATTGGACGTCAATCTATGACGTGCCAACAAATATTCATTGGGTGCCAATTTGTAACCCTTCGAGGCTCAATTTGTAACATCCCAACGTTGAGCTGCTGTTGTCAACCTGTAACCGCAAACCTTAGTTTGCTGCTACGACCTGACTAACATCACTGACAACGTTGGAGTGACAAATCGTTTCCCGTTGGGACCAATTTTTACCGTCATAACCCCTAATGCATCAATTACAAAATTGCTACATTAGACGTTATACGAAACACTCCCTGGCTAGCTCACTCAGGACGTGAATATGGCCTACTCTGGAGCAACACACACAAACAAGTAAAAAGAAGAAACAATACACAGTTAAATTAACACATGTTTATTAAGATATAAAAAAAAACAGAAAAATAAATGTTAAATATCGTATTGAATTTAAATAAAAATTATTCGACTTCTTGCTACAGTGTTACATTAGGTATATGAAAGAAGAATTATTGTCACCAAATCCTAAGTTTTTTCCTGGTCTTTTCTGCTCTGGTTGTTAGCAAGCCATGTGGTTAGTTTTGGATTTCCTTGTCTCGGAGTCAACTCTCCTATTGGAATAATGGCTCCATTCTCAGGCCGGTTGGTCTTCTGGATGGTAATAGAATTTGACCCGCACCTGAGAAATGTATCCCGGAGGTTGACTAAAATGAAGAAAAACACACCTTGCTTTAGAAAATGGTGAAACCAAAATGAGAGACCTTGCTTGGGGGATGAATAAGGTGACCAATCAAATTTAACAAAATTTTATCATTATTCACCCAAGCAAGTCGAGAAACAATTCTTATTCATGCACTTATCATAGGCAAATAAGTAAAAGTAAGGATATAACTTTAATGCAAATGGTAATTACTTTTTTAAAACTGAAATATTCTAATATTAATTAAAAAAAAATGACAAGATATATTTAGTGAAAAGCTAGATAATTTAGAAACATTGCTATATAGAACTGGTAGTTTGTCAAAAGTTAATTATCATTAAAATCAAAAGATATTATGGATTTAAAATTCATATTTAAAACTATAAAAATATTCGTAAAACTTTTACAGACTATATTAAAGAAACTATATATTTCTTATCGCTAGTTTTTTATATTAAATAAAAAACGTAAAAAAATCCACAAAATATGTACCTACTTACATGTCATACCATGATCATAAATAATAAGCTTAGAACTTTTAAAGTTAAAATTATAAAAAGATTTTTATACAACAGGTGGAATTAGGAAATCGATAAAATATATTATACACTTACCTCCAAATCTGGAGACGACACAACAATTGATTATTCTACTCTTAGAGAAGTCATGAAGAAAATCGACATTTTTAGAAAATAGAAGTCTTTATATCGACTTTTGTATCGAATGGGAAGGAGCAATGTCGACAAAGAATAAAGATGGGACCTCTCGTTCCAAAGTAACAGAAATAGAGATGAAAATAAAATTCACTCTTTAGAAACTTGAGTAAAAGATAAAAATGATGATTATTAAGAAAATAGGAAAGGTAGATACTAAAATATATATATAAAGAAGATAGATTTGGACGCCAACTGGTTTTTATACCAAATACCAGTAAAAAATGAAAAGAGAATAATGAATCAATTAAGTAACGACATAATTCTGATACAATCTATATCCTAGAAAATATATAGAAAAATAAGAGATACAATGGAGGATATAGAAGAATATGAATTATGACAGAAGATACGGAAATTGGAGAATAGAATTAACGAAATATATTAACATAAGAAAGAAAGCAGGCAATGTAGCAGTTATAACGCTACAAGGATATGCCCTTAACTATAATAAACACCCAAAATACTTAGGTGTTACACTTGACAGAACGCTAAACTTTAAAGAGCATCTTACTAAGACTGCTGCAAAACTCCGAACTCGTAACAATATTCTGCAAAAGCTCTGCGGCACTACATGGGGCTCCTCAGCACCCACACTTAGATCGACAGCATTAGGACTGGTATACCCCGTAGCGGAATACTGTGCACCAGTATGGATAAACAGTCCACATACTCACCGTGTTGATGTCCAACTCAACCAAGCCATGCGAACTATATCGGGCACAATCAAGGCCACGCCCACTTACTGGTTACCAGCTTTGAGTCATATAGCTTCACCACCCATCCGCCGGGAACATGCCCTTGTCAGAGAATTTACAAAAATCAATACTGATCCTGAGCTCCGCTCCCATGTCGGAACTTCCGCCAGAGACATAAATAGGCTCCGTTCAAGACACCCGCCTCTAAAAACAGCAAAAAGGCTAGTAGATCAAAACTTTAATGTAACTGAACGGTGGAGAGAACAATGGGAAAATAACGCTGCACCAGCTAACTGGAACATGCCATGTATTACAAGCAAACCTGAGGGCTTCAACCAACCGAGACGAATTTGGACCACACTCAATAGAATAAGGACGAACTGTGGCAGATGTTCCGACTCACTTTTTAGATGGGGAAAAATACAATCACCAAATTGCGACTGCGGCGCCGAAAGGCAAACAGTAAAACACATGGTAGAGGAATGCCCGATTAGATCCTATAACGGCAACCCTTCGGATTTCCTGGCTGCTACAAAAGACTTAATCGAATATATTTATAATCTAGATGTTTGTTTGTAGAATAATATTTTTGTGTTTACTGTTGTTTGTAATTTATATAATTTATATATATTTATATATATGAACCTGTGATGTAGCCATACGCTAAATAAATAAATATAGTGCTGAGATGGGAATTACTATAAACGCTAAAAAAACGAAGTACATGAAAATAACGTGCAAAAATCTAAATTTGGAGATCAGACTACGTACCATTCGCTGTTATATATTTTCAATATTATATGGAGCTGAGACATGGACATTAAAAAAAATGCAATTTAAAAAGAATCGAGCTTTAGAACTTTAGTTATACCGTAGAGTATTAAAAATATGGATTGATAGAATTACAAATAAAGAAGTACTGGAGAGAGTTGGTAAAGAAACAGAACTAATCACCACTAAAAAAACCAAAAAACTGGAATACCTAGGCCACATGATGAGGGGTCCAAAATATGAACTTTTGAGACTCATAATAGAGGGAAAGATTCAAGGGAGAAGATCTGTTGGCCGAAGGCAGAACTCATGGTTAAAGAATCTACGTGATTGGTATCAATGCAGGTCGTTTAGAGCAGCAAGTTCTAAAATAAAAATTGCCATTATGATTGCCAACCTCCGTAGGGAGACGGCACTCTAAGAAAAGTGTTAATTCTGCTTTTTTTACATTTGTCGCCTTTAATCAATTTGGGCACCTTACTGGTATTGAGTAAATGAATGACTTTCATCCCTACATCTTTATCATTTATTTCTTTTCAGTCTTATGTTGAGTTTTAAGTTTCCCTTACTTTTAATATTCACCCCGGATATGTTCTGACAACAGTTCTTTCCGTTTTTCTGATTTACCCTTATTGAATTAGTTGAATTCAGTATAATTTTACTATCTTTTTTGTCTTTTGGGAACTTAATTGTTCGGTGTTCGTTTTTAAAAATTAAATCGTTGTCTCTTCAAAATATGCAGTTTCTCTTCATTCCCATTCGTTACATTAATATTTCAAGATCCAATCTAGTTTCCTGATCTTTATCACTTTTTCCAATTAGCAATTAATTTTTTTCGTTTTTGTCTTTATTTTTGTATTTATTTTGTCTTTAATATTTGTGGGTAGATTTACCTGTATGCTATTAACATTTAGTGTAGTTTGCTTTTTATTAAACCAGCACAATTATTCCATTGACCAGTACAAGGCTTGTACTGTAGATGTTGAACTTGTTGGGGGCTTCAAAGAAGTTTCTTAATATCAGAGTAATTTGTATTTTTCCATTTCATTTTACTTCATTCAAACACTTTGAGTTCCAAGTATTCCATCGTTTTCATAGCGTCATATCTTTCCGCTTCGAGCCTTATGCCTTACATTCCATGTACTCACTTTTGTATATTGATATTGAATCAAATTTAATGCATTTGAGATAGTGGTTATTCATAATGTTTTCTGAATCCTTCTGTCGTTATTTAAGACTAGTTTATCTTTACAATTCAGACAATTCAAAAAATTTTCTTGTCGTGTTTGCGTAGCTCTCACTCTTCAAATGTCATTGATATTTTAGAGATCTCCCCATGTATTCCAGAATATTTTCAGCCGTCTGACTCTAGTCAGCGTGCTCAGATTAACCAACCAGTAAGAAGTAATAAGTCAACTCTCAGTCGAAACTATATCTAACGAAGCAGATAATTAATAAATGATAAAAACATTAGTTTGATTAAAGTTATCCTTACAACATTCTAAATATCAAGAAATTATTTTTTAAAAATAATTTAACACTAAGAACAAAAGTAATAATAAACGATTTAATAAAAATTTATTATACATTAAACATTATTTATTCATCAAACAAAAGACCATAAACTCCAAAACCTAAAGCAACATCTGTTTGGTCCCAGAATCTATGATAGGTAAACTTTGGTGCAGGACCACCGTTCATATAATTTTCGATCTTGTACCATTGCGGATCCTTTTTATAAAATGATCTTAAACTAATAAAGGTTGAATTTGAATCAATAACGTCGCCATTGGGATAAACTCCATGGAAATCTTTTGGAACATAAACAGATTGGTTAAAGTGAATCTCGGGTTGCTCTTCCACTGAAATTCCTAATGGTGTGCGATGCAAATTCCATAAACTGTCAAGTATTTTTTTAGCGAGATTCTTTGCTTCGACGTGATTAGCTTTAGCGGCGTAATAGGATAATGTTCTGGCGGTAGCTGCTGCGGGTCCAACCCCGTTTCCATAGTAAACTACCTTACAATGAACGTTAGGAGGTACTCCAACCCAGTCCAATGTACTGGGAATCCTATAATCTTCCCCTTCAAAGTAAGTATTTCCGATAATCCAAGATACCCATTTATCCAAAATTTTTTTAGCTTTATCATCTCCAGTTATATAATAATATTGTGCTAAACGATCAGTAGACCAAGGTTGCATTCCAAACCATTGATTTGATGGGGGATCGTATGCAACAGGTTCCCAATTATAAAACATTCCATGGAAAGTATTCTCCATTAATTCTTCAGGAGGCTGCTCGTATCTACCATTCCAGCTATTAGAAACACCACCTGCAAATGCACCTTCAACGGATTGTAGGTATTCGTATAATTCTAATTGTCGCTCTAAAGATATTTGCCAATCTTCTACTGCAGTTGCACCTTTAGGAGTCATATTAGGTTCGTTAATTAAGGCATAGGCTGCCATAGGATTTTGGTAACCAAAATGAGCAACACCTTCTCCAATTCTCCAAGAATATCCATATTCTGAAGATATTGATCCTCCCCATCCAAAATACCATCCTAATAAGTAATGAGCACTATCCTTACCAGTACCTCCTGGGCATTTATAAGGATCTATACAATTACCAATTCTCTTAAAATTTTTATCGAAAAAGCAATATCTTAAATAATCTCCCAATTTACCAGCCTTTTGTAAAGTATCAGTTATCTGTGATAATTGTCCACTTTTAGTTGCCCATCTTGAAGCCCAAAATGCCGCAGCAATAGCTCTAGCATCTGCATCTGGAGCAACAGAATATTTCCAATTAGGTGCATGATCTCCTGTAGAAAACAAAGGGCCAAATCCTTCTGGACCACCATATTTATGAGAATCACAAGTTGGTTGGGGTATTGTTTTCCAGGCATTTTCTCTAGGTCCTCTTTGATATGTATTGATAAAAGATGGTCCAGGCTCATTAGGACCAAGTTCACAATTTCCAGGACTATTACCAAAGCCGTAAACGTTATCTACATCTGTCAACCAGTGCATTGCGTAAATATCACTGGTTCCGTAAGTATCTACTAATTCTTGATACAAGGGATCGATTCCAACTGGAGCTGGAGGATCAACTGGTTCTACAGGATAGTCTTCTGGATATTCCTTTTCTGGACCATAACCAGCAGGGTGTGATGGGTTGTACAGATTAGTATTAGGTTGACTTTCATGTACAGGAATAATATATTTCTCCATTATTTCCCACGCTTCATTAAATCTTGAAAAGTTATTTGTAATACCGCCATACATAGCTTCTAACCAAATATAGTAACTGTGTGCTTCCGATGTTGTCTCATGGCCATAATCAGACGATTCTACAACTAGAGTTTCAACAGCGTGGTATGGTATGCCTTTTGAAGAAAAGTATCCATTACTAGGGTCGTGCATTTTATTATACTGTTCCAGGAATCTTTGTTTGTAAACACTCTCGCAGCCTGCATAATTTAAAATCACCGCAAGGACAAGTAAATACAATGACGTCATATTTTTCTTGTTACCTAAAAGCAATACAATTATTTATTATTAGAAATATATGATATAATAATATTAGTAGATTAGTAGATAGTGTTTAAAAAAAATTTCATTGTATATAAATTCTAAAAAAGGATACCAAATGTGAGAAAAACGACTTAAAATAATCTACTATGCAGACGATGCAATTCTACTCTCTCAAAGTGAAGGTTTACAGCGTATTCTGTACCAATTTAATATAACCGCCAGAAAATTTAACATGTTAATTTCCCTAAAAAAGACAAAACGCATGGTTATAACAGCAATTTTACTAAGATGTAAATTGGATCTGGAGGTCAGATAATAGAACAATTGATGGAGTTTCAATATCTAGGCATCACATTATCTAGCTATGCAAAGCTCGAAACAGAAGTGGGAGATCAACAGAGCTGCAGGTTGCCTGAATAAAAGAATATAGAGAAATAGAAATATCGGGAAAGAAATGAAAGGCAGAATTTACATAACAGTCATCGGACCAATAATGATATACACGACAGAAACACGACCTGACACAAAGAGAACAAAAATAATGTTAGAAACAGCAGAGGTGAAAACACTTAGGTAAAACCACTATGGGACAGAGCTAGAATTACAGATATACGACGTAGTTGCAAGGTGAAAAACATCAAGGACTGGGTAAGAAATAGAAGAGTAGAATGGAGTAATATAAGCCGAATGACAACAAATAGAGTAAGTAAGCACGACAAGAGACGATCCCCAATAGGCACATTGAAAAACAGACAGGCAGGAACAGAGTCATGAATACATAAAAAGAAGTCTAAATCTGTAAGTGATTTATTGTTTATTCTCACCTGAATTTGTATATAACTTTTAACCATATTTTAGTTGTCTCCTGATGAATCTGACAAAAAATCAGCGAAATATAGAGAATTAAAGAAAAAAGAGTTTTTTTTTAATTACAGGCCGCATACCCGATACACCAAGACAATACATTGTTATTTACGTTTCGGTCGATAATCCTACCAGTTTTGCTGTTTAATGATGGGTTTTTATCAAGACATTCAAGCGATATATGGAAACGAGGCTACAATATTGATGAAAAGATTAGCCAGTTTAAATTCAAAAGCTGTGAAAATCACCAACAGAAGAATATTTTTACTACGATGTAGAGCCACTAATGTTATTCCATATCATGTTCAAGACAGTACAAAAAACCTTCAAATGATTTTATAGACAGGTAATGACATACTTATGAGTAATACAGTAGATGGTTTCATAAAGCAATTATGCAGAAAAACTTTAGCTTTAGAAATAAAAATCACATGCAATAATTTAGTATATTTACAAAAATCTATTAGTACAGTTAAATTTAGATTGCAGAATATTTTACCGTTGCACATCACGTTTTCTTAAAGAATGTATTTGTAATAGGCATTGGTAATGTGCAAACTAAACTAAACTATATATATAGTTTAGTTTAGTTTGCACATTACCAATATTATGACGTCCTTATCATGACGATTCCCAGGGTATCAGGTCTCCACTTCCAACAACCTGAGCCGATAAGGATCCTTGCACATGCAGTTACCAGCAGAGTCAGCGGGACTCAAGCTTTTTACACGTTCCCACTGAGTCAGCATTTACCAATATTATAAAACCGCTTGTCGCTCTTTATTTTCATTCAGTATTCATTATATTTTTGTAGTTCGTTCATTATATTTTTACATTTCATTTTTATATTTCATTTGTAACACGTAATTTTGATAATTGTATTTTTCGTAATAAATTATTTTTTTAAAAAGTCAAAAAAGTCTTTCGTGATATAAAAAGTGGCGCAGTCGCAGTAGGATCTGGAAACGTTGGCAGAACAAGGAGAACCTAACTGACAACGGTGGATTCCAATCCTTTAATCAGAAAAAGAACCAGAAAACTCCAAAAAGCAGTACCGTCCTAACTTTGCAGACATCTACGGAAGGAATACCAAGTGAAGCCCCTGGTAGATTAGCTGTCGAGAACAAGACGACTAGATGTTTTTGGAACTAATGTAAGTCTAATATTGAATCATCTCGTATATAATTTTTGTTTTATACCATTTATTACCATATACTGTTCGATATTCCAATATTTAATATTCTTTTAATTAATAATTTTATGCCAAATTTGAATATATTTTTGATAATTACTTTAATTATTATAAACTTTTGGCGATTATTCTGTAAATCGTCAATTGTTTATTTTTCTTTTATTAAACGATTACCTTTGTCGATTATTCTGCTAATCAGACACTGTCTTAGAAAAATACTTTTCCGATATTTTGATTTATTATTTTAATATTTACATTTTCGATTTATTATTTTGATATTTACATTTTGTTTTATTATTTGATATTTATATTTGATTAATTATTTAGTTAATTAATCCATAATCTTATATTTTTATTTCTATTTTGTTTATTGATTTATTAACCACCATGAATAATAACGGCAACATTTCTCGTCCCGCTTCTCGTAATGAGAACCAGCCTGAAATAGAACCTTATAAATTATCTGAAATATTTTCTATGGTACCCGAATTTGAAGGCGATCAAATATTTTTACACACATTTTTAAATGCTTGTGATTATGCCTATAATATGTCTACGCCTGATCAAAAACAACTATTAGTAATTCACATAAAAAATAAATTACGCGGAAGAGCAGCGCAACTTATAAGTTCAAGAAATCCATTATCGTATCTAGAAATCAAACAGCTTCTTACTTCTCATTTTGGAGACACTAGAGACTTATCTTCTTTGATACAAGATTTACAGAGAGTCAACCAACTTCCGAATGAATCGGCTCTTACATTCCTTAATCGTGATGCAAAAATGCACGCTAATATGCAGGAATCTAACCTCTCTACTGTAGAAAAACAGACCCAAATTGTATTAATTGAATCAATGGCGCTCAATATCTGTCAGAAGACTAAACCTTTAACCACATAGATGCACATTTTGTGGACGTATGGGCCACTCGTACAATGAATGTCGTTCTCGACAAAACTCCCAAAATAATACGCAGAATTCCTACAACTCACATAATTTTAGCAATTCCCGAAATTTTAATAGCCATCAAAACTTTAATAACCCTCAAAACAATGATTTTCAAAGAACTTTCAGTTCAAATAATAATTTCCAAAACAATAGACCCAATGACCAACAAAGACCTCAATTCACATCAAATCAAAATAATTCACACGTACGCCCTTCTGTAATCCATAAAAATTCTAATTTTTCAAACGATAGGCACAGAGCTCATTTCGTTAACTATGAGCCTGACTATATTAATGACTATACTTGAGCTTTAAATGAAAGCTACCAATAAAGATTTCTCTGATAACAATTATTCACCTCCCGATTATTACCATTCATTTGATCAATCAACCGATTTAATTGATAGCTAAGACTATCAGGATTTTCTCACAGTCCCGAATCAGAACCACCCACCAGACAATACCAGTTCAATGAACGAATCTTTGTCTGAAATACAAAATCAGATACAAACTCTGAATTTGGACGACATGAACCCATCTCTGAACTTTCCAGAATAGACTTTTCTTCAAGCTCTCTTCTTGCTGTAAACTCTAAAAACCTGTACTATATAAAAGACGCATCAAATACATTTAAATTACTTATCGATACCGGTGCTGGTATCTCTATCTTCAAAGAAAATACTGTGAAAATTTTCAAACCACGTTTTCCCGAACAAATTACTATACAGGGTATTACAGTATTGTTCTGAAGCTATTTTCTTGTGGCATTGTAAATTAATTACTATTTATAACTGGGAATAAGCCACAATTAAAGATAAAAATACGTTTATTGACGTTTCAATTTCCAATTCGGAAATCGTTCTCAAAATACAAACAGTAAATTAAACAAATTTTGTTTTTTGTTACATAGTGAAAAAATTCTTCTAATAATTTAATTTTATCTGACTCATTTATATTGACAATTCAGACATACATTATGCATTTTAAAGTAGACGACTTTAAAATGATATTGCCAATATTGTTGAGTTGCGCTCCTGGGACGACTTTACTTATAAGATAGTTCATTCGATTACATGAAATCAACTTTAACTTGAGAATATCCGTCAGAAAAAATCATAGCATGTAATTCGTCTTTAAAAAGACAAACACATGACATGATGACAGTAAAATTCTAAATTTACTATGGAATCACTAACAGGAGAATTTTACTGTCATCATGTCATGTGTTTGTCTTTTTAAAGACGAATTACATGCTATGATTTTTTCTGACGGATATTCTCAAGTTAAAGTTGATTTCATGTAATCGAATGAACTATCTTATAAGTAAAGTCGTCCCAGGAGCGCAACTCAACAATATTGGCAATATCATTTTAAAGTCGTCTACTTTAAAATGCATAATGTATGTCTGAATTGTCAATATAAATGAGTCAGATAAAATTAAATTATTAGAAGAATTTTTTCACTATGTAACAAAAAACAAAATTTGTTTAATTTACTGTTTGTATTTTGAGAACGATTTCCGAATTGGAAATTGAAACGTCAATAAACGTATTTTTATCTTTAATTGTGGCTTATTCCCAGTTATAAATAGTAATTAAGGGTATTACAGATCAAAAGGTTTTTGTCACTGAATCAACTCTAGTCCCGTTTCAAGTGGGAAACCCCCATAAAGTTTTCATTTATAATTTAGATATTGATTTCGAAGGAATCTTAGACCTCGATCTCTTAAAACATTACGAGTGTACGATAGACCTCAAAAACAAACTTCTTCTTCTTAGTCGTTAACCTGATGCAGGTATCGTGATATCATGAAGCTGTTAGGTAATTTTTCCAATGTTCCTCCACGTTTTTCTATCTTCTGCCAATCTAGCACATTCTGACAATGGAGCGCCAATGGTAGCAACAATATGGTCCGTGTATCGTGTAGGAGATCTACCTCTACTTCTTTTGCCTTCTACTTTTCCCTGGATGGTAAGTTTTTCAAGACCATTTCTTC